TTCTAATTATAAACTACTATAATATTTATTCATTCTAAATAATATTCTATGCAGATTGTGACAATCCTATTTAATGAATCCCAATTGTATGTTCTCGAAAATGGAACAGAGGTTTTGAAGCACTCTGAATTAAGGAACCATTGTTATTTTATTGGTTCGCCGTGAGTTAGAAAAGGCTGGCTGGTTTGGTGCGCCAATTGCGCGCCCCCGGACATAAGCGATGAGCCCAGAGATGGTCGTTGGGTCCATGGTCTGATTGGCAGTGCACTGTCACTTGCGGAGGAGGGACTGGAGTAAGATAACAACTTCGATTATTGTTTGATGATATGTATACTTTTATTTATATATAACTGGCAAACAGTTGATTTAATAATATACCGCTGTATATCACTTTACTCAATAAGTCCGTAGGATAACTAAAACATCTTTTTGGCAAAATTATTTTTTTAATTCAATATAGTTTACTTTGAGAACGCTACACCCATTATAGTGATCTCCGAACTTTTTGAAAACCATTTCTGTAGTACGATTTGTACTTAGCCATAAAATTCGGCCATCATCTCATCATACATAGAGTGAGCATCCTTTTGAGATCTGAAAACAGAATATGGTCGCTGGGGATCTAGAAAATATAGTGAGTCGGAAAGTGATTTGGAGCCTAATTCAAGTTATTTTGCCATTGTTTTCACGGAATTGTGACTTGGTGCATTGTTCTGATGGAACAGCACGGTTTTGTTTTTCAAATTGGGCCGTGTTTCAAATGTTTCAACAATGTTATTAAATATTCACTGTTGATAGTCTGGCCTTTTTGCAGAGATCATTTCTTGCGTATTCCAAAAAACTGACGCAATAACCTTGCCAGCTGATTGGTTGCATTTTTTCTCGTCATCGTCTAGTTCATTCGGCTGTCTATTCGACTCCGTAGTTAGTGTTGAAGCCAGGTCATATCCATGGTGACATTTGATGCAAAAACTCAGTTTTATTTTGATTAAACAGCTCCAAATACTCTATGAATCATCAACCCGTTATGCTTCTGGTCAAATGTGAGTTTGCGCGGCACCCATTTAGCACAGAGAGTTTTTCCATTCAAATATTCGTGAACGATATGTCCATCACGTTCTATCGATATCTTTAGGGTGTCAGCTATCTCAGGCAATTTTACTTTTCGGTTTTCCAAAACGTTTCGGTGGACTTTTTTGATATTTTCCGGTGTAACCACCTCAATTGGCCTTCAGACGTTCAGCATCGTCATTGACTGTATGGCCACGATTAAAATCAGCAAACCACTTCTTCACCATCCACCTCTATTTGGAACAGTCCAGATAACACTTATCAAGCGATACTTTGGCAGCAATGGTATTTTTACCCATCAAAAACCAATGATAAATCAATACACGAAATTTCTTCGCATTCAGGGTTTCAAAAACCTTAAAGGTAGCGTCACTTGAACCTCTGTAACTTGTAAACTGATGGTCCGATAGTCATGAAATTTTGACATATATCTTCTTAAAGTTGCTGCTTCCTACAAATCATCTATGTGTTATCCTGCGGACATATTGAGTGAAAATGTAAGGCTTTTATTTGCCCTTCACAATTATAAATTTGCATTGAGAGATATATTGTAATATTTTAACACTAGGTTTACCGAGCTCGTTAATTTGACGCAATTCTAACTTTGAAATAAAATTCTGAATAATTGATATTATATATAGAATTTCTATTTTGATAAACTTTCTTTACGAAATTTATCAAATTGACCGAGTGCTTTCAACTAGAAAATATAATATTAAGGAAAAGACTGAGATGCAGAAGACCACTTATATCATGTTATTTTGTACACAATGAAATCGTTAACAAAAAAGATCATCTCGTCATTCGAAAATCGAATTTCAGTAAAATTTCAAGACTGTCGTTTTGAATACTGAACAATCTATCATCATGCGTTCCTTAGTCGGTTTGTCACATTATTATAAGAAGTTTTCTTCATGTTGTTGTGAATTGCATTACATCATATTAATGTTAGTCTTATTATCGTTTTAGCTTTGTATTTTACAGTAATTAATTTAATTAAGGTAATTTGTTTACTGCAATGTTGTCTAATGCTGTATCCGAAATATATGATATGATGTTTTAGATCAGGGTGCGTTCATTAATCACGTGAGGTTTATAGGGGGCTGGGAGGTTTCACAAAAAATCACGAAATATCACGTGGGGGAGGAGGGTTATAGTAAGATTTGGATAGTTTTCAACAAATCCAAACTTTCCAAAAAAAATTTTACAAATAAAAATACACGTGGTTTGGTGGGGGAGGGAAGGTAATTTTGAATATCACCACGTATCACCAAAGGGGAGGGCGGTCCAAAAATCCTTGAAAAATCGATCACGTGATTAATGGACGTCCCCTCATTTAACGCCAACATTAAGTTTTCAAAAATGTTACCAAAACGTGCAATAAAATTAGAAGCTGCAATGTGAATGCAAAGACTTATATTAAACTGTTCAACTCAACCTGTGCATAAATTATTAGATTTTTTTAAACAAATATGCATTGCGTCAATTTGACGGTATATATATATGATAGGTATATATACATTATTGTTTAAAATTAACAGTAAATGTTTTCAATAAACATTACAGAGACGATCAAGAAAATGTAACAATCCTCCCCCGAATATATTCGGTAAACTTTGTGAAGGACCTCACGTATCTACAGGTTCATGTAATGAATTTGAATGCGGCGACATTTCGTTAAATACTGAAGAAATATAAAGCATTATTTACAAACTAATCACTACAATATGCATGTGACTGAAGGCGATAGTATAGAACTGACTTCTCCATTAAAACTGTTGCTCTTAATACAGAAAGAGGCACCCAATTCAAAATATCAATGGACGTTAAATGGTCTTATTCTACTCCCAGAATTGGGTAACATTCAAAATGCAGAAATAATAGTTTTTTATTAACAGAGCCACGGTTAACGAAAGCGGAATATATATGCTGGTATTATACCGAATCACCAAACAAAAAACTGTCTTAAAAGTGGTTGCTGTCACAGTCCAGGCTAAAACTCCTTACATTGATACAAGGGTCTCTTATGATTTCAAGTTGAAATGTCACGGAGTTGTACTAGGTATTTAATTGTTACAATATTGTGCAAAGTCGATAACTATTTACAGTAATTACTATTTAATATTACATATTTCTCATCGAACAGTAAAATTATTATTTTCACTTTGCTGGTGATATATACCAAATTCTAATATTCTTTAGTACCTTGGATTTAGGATAATTTCAAAATATTTTTGTCAAGCGCAAATTTAAAATGTAAATATGAATTATAGTGTTCATGTATATCAAATGATTTTTTTTATCATTGTTCATCTTCTTGCATGTACCCATTACTCTATAAAAACGCATATCGAATCTTATAGTTTAGCGTCCCTCATTCTTCTAAATTAGAATAGAACTAGTGGTGTATGGCACCGTGCTTTAAGGCAAATTGCTGGAACTTCCCGTACCAAAAATTGAATTTTTAAAAAAGATGAATATGTTTTAAATTTTGAAAAAATAGATTTTTGAGAAATTTTAAATTTTTAGGAAAAAAATTACTTTTTTGGAAAAAAATGTTTTTTTTTTGGTTTGAAATATTTTGTAAATTTTGAACTTTTTTTCAAAGCAATCCAGTACGAAATATCGAAGCGCGTAAGCGCCGCATCGCCGTCTAATGAACAAACGATGTTACAAAATCCATAGAAATATGATACACATTATTAAAATATCTGATAATTTGATGTGCATATGTCTAATGATCATTTTTGACCTCAAAATGGCATTTTTTTCACTTTTTTTTACTAGATCTCCGAAACCGCTAGACCTGCCTTAATCAGTTCTTCATCTTATCAGTACAAATAAAATGTTTTTCGAATTATTAAAATAGGACGCTCCGTTCTCCTAAAAACTGAGTTACCGTTTTTGGCATTTTTTGCCCCGTATCTTCGAAACGGCTAGACCTGCATATGCCGAAAACTAATCACCACGTTTCCTTATGTTTTTTGAATAGTTGAAATCGGTTGAACCGTGTTCCCGAAATTGTCGACGAAAATTTGTATCCGCACACACACATACACATACACACACTTGGAAGTTAATAAGAGTTTGAAAATTTTGGTTCGTTTGATAAATTTTGTTAATAAGTTTTGATTGATCGAATCGAAAGGGAACAAGTTATTATGTTCATATTTTTTTTATTTTTTTGAGTAAAAATGTCTGATTTAAATGAATTGCGCACCAACGACAATAATAAACTATAAAATGAATTTCTCAGGGTGTACAGTAGTATGTACAAGATTTTTTATTGGTTTATATTGTACTTTTTATGTTTTATTTAATTAAGTTCAATAAATGATAATTTATTATTATCAAATTTCAGGCTATGTCTATAATGATTTATCTCTGAAATGGACAACCAATGGATCTTTATTCAAAGACTATGGATTGTACCTTTAGAGGCAGTTGACACTATATATATAAAAAAAGCAAGTTACGAACACGACGGTGAATGGTCTTGTGAAATAGCTCAAGAAGATTTAAATTTTACTTGGATTACTAGTTTATATTGGGTCAACGTGAAAAAGAAACCGAATTTTCTTACCTACGTTATGGAAGATGAATTAACTAAATATATTTTTGGATGGATGGGTTACGAAGAGGTTGTCTTGGCGGCTATAATATTTTTCACTGTAATTGTAGTTTTAGTTATTGTGGGCACACGGTTCAATAACACATGAGCCTATACCACAAGTAAAGAAACCAATAACACAAGTTTATGAGCCTATATCCACAAGTGAAACTGAATAAATATAGTGATCAAATTCTACAATATTGTTTTATTCTAATAATAAGATTATTTTTTATTTAATTTGTGTTATTATTTTTAATGAACCTTATATGTAATTTTTAACCAAAGTAATTTGATTTCTCTCAAAGGTTCTGCAAAGAATACTTGCGGCGGAAGAATGTGTTTCTACCGTGCTATGTGGAAAGCAGCACCAGGCAAAAAAATGGAAGTTGCGATGAAAGTTCTTAAATCTGAACATACTCAAGATAATCTTAAGGTGAATTTAATTTTAGCCATATTTAGAAGAAAGTTATATAATTTACCATAATTATTTTATGCTTATTTGAATAATTATATCTTCGAAATCTTGCTTATAAAACCATAGTTTATAGATAATGATGCATTAGTTAATTGCTTAGCCATAATATAAATATATATTTTCTAAAGAAAAACTATATGATCACTCACTATGACTTATTGTGACCAGTTCTTTGACTAATTAATTTTAACGCGAGTAAATGATGTGATATTTGGCTAAAACTAGTTACAATAACGCAAGTAATAAGATCTTATATCTTTGTAATAATATTTGTTTATATTTTAATTTCGATTTCACACAGTTAAACAAATTTTCTTTAGTATTTGCGTCTTTCTAATAGAGTAATTAATTTAACTAATTTAACTATTAGTAATTTGAGTACATCACTAAAAAACTGGAGAGCGAACGTTGGTGGTTTTAAACAATTTTAATATGTCTATTTTACATATATAATAATAATCAGAAGCAAATTGAATCAGTTTGCGTTACATAATATTCTATTAAAATGCGAATCGAAAAATTATATTTCCCAATAAGAAATATTATTTTTAGACTCTCTATTTCAAATTGTTTCGTTTGCAATAGTTATATTTTTAGGATCATTGCTAGTTAAAATGATATTTCCTTGAAATTTTACTCATCACTAAATGTGATTTAATCAATTTAATGTTTGTTTATTTGTATTGTTTTCATTAAACTTACAATGATAACACAGCTTATAAAGTTAACTTTGATTTCTCAAGAACCAGCAAAGTCAACAAGGATTTCGCAGAAAGTCTTTAGTAGCGGCTTCGATATTGTTCATTTCTTCCAATTTTGTTTTTTCAAATATTATTCAAAATCAGAAACATTTTAGAACAAGGAAAAAATTTTTATATATTTTTATATTATATAAGGAAACTAGGTGACCCGACAGACGTTGTCCTATACTTAAGTTTACATTCAAAAGTTTCAAATTTTTTTAATAACCTATACTAATATTTACCAATTAGTTAAAAATTATTATGTTTATGTTATTATGTATATAACTCCATCCATATGGAGCTTTGATGTACAACAGCTTTAAATAAAATGATAAGTATTTGCTTTTTTGAAAAACATTATAAAATATTTTGAAAAATATTTGAAAAAAAAAAATGAAATTACACCACTGAGAGGGATGTCATTTCCCCGAGAAATGGTAAAGAAGTCTAAATTATTTTTACTTTTGAACTTGAGAGTAAGATAAGCCTAATTTCAAAATTTCATACGAATTGGAGCACAGTAAAAAAGTTCAGACAAATTCGAAAAGAAAAGTACTGTTTTTAGGGTTTTCCCGGCAATTATTAGATTTTTTCCCGCCGTAAGAACCATTCTTGGACTCCAACGAACATTTTAAAAAAAGAATTGGCCAAATTGGTCCAGGCGTTGTTGAGTTATGCGCTTACCAACACATTTTGCGATTAATTTTTACATTATAGATAAGTTTTTGAGTGTTTTTCTTTGGAAAAATATATTTGTTTATTTATTTACATATTTAGAATAGTTATTATAAGTACAGTTGTTATTTATAATTTATCATATAACTTTACTGTGTTTCAAAAAATATGTATCTGCTATGTTTTTTTCTTTTAAATCGATAGATATCATAAGTGTCTTTTCCGCCAAAATTAAAATTAATCGCATTCCGTCTAGAATGGTCTAGAATTAACTTTATATAATGAGTTTGATGTATTTTTGCAGTTTGATTTCTTAATAGTACATTTTTTTCTAAAACACTATTCGAGATACGTATAAAAGTATAATGAAAAAAATGACCTAAATACCTATTTTTATTTTAAAAAAATTTCTTTCTCAAACATATATGATTTTGAATAATATTAAAAAAGACAAAACGTCTTTATTTATTTGGCTAAACGTGCAAATTATATATTCATAATTATTCTTCTTATTTATGTTTCTTCTTATTAGGAGTTTATTGAACTTTGTGGAAAATGGGCATTTGTCAAGAATTCTGCATTGGTGCGCCTTTACGGCGTAACATTATCCAGCCCAGTATCAATGGTTATGGAATATCTTAGTTCGGGCCCTCTGGATCAATATTTGCGAAAAAATGCTTCAAGGATACAAGAGGTTGATATGGTTGAAGCTGGTTCACAATTAGCCACAGCACTATGGAATTTGGTATAGGAAATGTTTCCTTAAATTCAAACAAATAACGAATTACATTAACGAATATATTTTTATTTATTTCAAATAATTTTCAGCATGAAAATGGTATAGTACACGGAAAGATCAGGTGCAGTAAACTTATGGTAGCAAGTTACGACAGCAAGAGCTTTGTTGTAAGGTTATCAGAACCAGGATTAAACATTACTTACACAGATGCAGAGTAAGTTTTATAGTTATTCTATTTTTTATGATAGATAGAAATGTTTACATGTTTGTTGTTACAGCATTCATTGGATTCCACCAGAGTTTCATAATAATTTTGAGTTTGTTAAAAAAAGTACTGTTGCTGATGTTTGGGCATTTGCAACTACACTTTGGGAAATCTTTTCATTGGGATCTGAAATTAGTGATTTAAGTTTTGGAGAGTGTAAACAAGTAAGTAACATCTGTAATAATTTTAAATGTAAATATTTTTAAAAACTATTTGATTTAAATTGTTTATAGTTTTATTTATCTGGGCGACGATTGCATAAACCGGATGCTTGTCCTGATGATGTATATCTGCTCATGAAGAACTGTTGGAAAATCGATCCTCATAGTAGAATACAATCGCAAGAAATTATGCGAGATATGAATCAAATTTTATATGGAGGTAGTTTTGAATGGAATTTTTATATTTTCCATAGGATTCTTATAAAACATGCTTTGTACTTACAGTTTTTAACTCTAGAAGAACACACTCTTATAGCACTGTATACCCCAAAGGTTTTCGTGATGTAAATGGCTCAAAACAAAGTATATTTTCAACTGCAACGGGTATAATAAACTCATAATCTAATCAAACATTTAATTGCTTTCTTTAATAAGAAGAAATAATTATATTTCAGATGACACATTTTTAATACGAGATGTTTTTTCTGCACATGATATGGAACGTGATAATAAATCACTTACATCAGATATCAGTGGAAGCAATGGATTTTCAATTTGGGACAAGGTTTTTTATTAAATTAATCTTATTTTGCTTTATTTATATTGCATTATGGATATTCACTTCAGATTCTTTTATATTATAGGATGATCATTTTGATAGTTCAACAATATCTTGCAATCTTACATCAAGCCCTTCACTAGATCTGATGGATGCAATGCAAATTATATTCGAACTCAGCTCAGATTGTAATTTAGTATTGCAGGGTCGCATTGGGCAGGTAATATAAAGTTTAATATTTACATAGTAACTTAAGAGTTTTTTTATCAACTTAATCTATTTAGGGTTTTTATGGAGAAGTGTATAGAGGAAACTTGGAAAAGGATAAAGATACTGAACCGCAGTTAGTTGCTGTGAAGAAATTGAAAACTAATGCTTTAAATTCATGTTTACAAGATTTTGAAAGAGAAATTTCAATAATGAAGGTACTATTATTGTTCTAATTTATATCTATTATTATTACATTATCTTTAAATAAATTTTATAAATCTTTGCAATTTTCTACAGACTTTAAAACATCCAAATATTGTTGAGATCCTATGTGTATTTGATGAACCTGAAATATCATTAGTAATGGAGTATGTTGCCAATGGTTCATTACAAAGTTATTTAAAAATACATCGTGATAAAATCAAACAACCACAGTTATTGAAGTATGCACTAGACATCGCTGAAGGAATGGAATATCTTGGAAAAAAGCACATAGTGCATCGAGATTTAGCTGCTCGAAATATATTGGTAGCTAATGAAAATTTAGTGAAAATATCAGATTTTGGATTAGCACAAGTTACTGGAGGCAAAGAAGATTACTATATTCTGAAAACAAATAGAGATCTCCCAATAAAATGGTATTTGTAAATTTTTAATATATTTTTTAAGTTAGTATTGGTTAAATTTTATTTAGTAGTATGGTAACTCCATAAAACTACATAACTTTTGTAAATAGGTGACTCAAAAATATATGTCAATAGATAAATCAAAGTTATTTATTTTGGTATGTTACCTGGGTTTGATAATCTATAAAATATACTTATTAATTTATGGTTGGAATAATTTAATTAATGTCTTTGGTTCTAGACTATTTATATTTTTTAGAAAATTCTTAATGAATAGTGATTGACAATTATCAAAATAAAATTTATTTTTCAATATTATAATTGAACAATTATAATTGTCTTTTTATAATATTTTATTAGTAATATATAGTTAATGTGATTATTAACCCATTACTCAATGTATTAAATGATATTTGAAATTTTAAAGAGGGACAGTTTATTAATTTGGTTTTTATTTTTAACCACTTATTTACATTTATTAATTGTTATTCTAGGTATGCTCCAGAAAGTTTGTGTGATGGTAAATTTTCATCCCGATCTGATGTGTGGTCCTATGGTATTACAATGTTCGAAATGTTTTCTTATGGGGAGGATCCGGTTCTGCCAAGTATGTCGACAGTTGCAGCTTTGTCATCATCTGGATTCAATAATTCAAATTCTCAACTTCTTGGAGAAGTTGACAGTGTTAATACTGAACCACCACAACACACCATGTTCAAAATTTTAAAAAGTGGAGAAAGGTTTGTTATTTTATTAAATTATTTGATATAAAAATATGCAAGCACTAATTCATCTGATTAGTTTTGCATTATGAGTCATAAAAATAATTCATAATTTGTTAATAAAAACTTTCTACATTTTTATGGATTATTTTACTTCATATTTATCAAGGGTCTGGAAGCTATCTCACAATTGATCATGTTACTAATACTTAACCTTTGAAAATAATATAATTCTAAATGAATATTTTACATTTTGAATTTATTTTTGGATAGATTTCGATATAGGTTTGACACTTGTATGAACTCAGTTTAATATATGACTACGAGATAATTTGTCCTAATTTATCAAAATTAACATCATGGCGTTTTTACATATATTTTTTAATTTGTCAAGTAACAATTTATTTGGCATTTATTCATTAATATTGTTAATGTTTTCAGACTGAAATGTCCCAAAAGGTGTTCTAATGAGATTTATTTAGAATTAATGCATTCTTGTTGGAAATTTTCACCTTCAGAGAGACGAACTTTTTCTGAATTAACTGTTGTTTCTAGTGAATTATTAAGAAGATCTAAAAATGAATTAGGAGACTTTTTAGGTTAATATACTAAACCTGGGATAGCCTTACAATATACTCAACTACACAATTAGAATTAAATTGGATTAAGTAGTAATATTCTCTAAATTTTATTAGTTTGATTTATATAATCAATATTATGAATTCTCCACATTAAATTTTTAACATTTTGTTTCATTTTGTTAAAAATTTATTTTCTGTTAATTAATTGTAAAATGTAAAAAGATCTGAATTTTAGTATATAATTTATTTTTTATCTGTGAAGATTTTTATACTTATTGTCTCTATTCATATATATTTTTATAATACAATTTTATTTTTGTATATATATATATATATATATATATATATTACGCATATGTAACAGTTAATTTTTTAAATGTATATTCCGAATATTCTGGATATAATCTTACCAAATTCAAAATTCTGAAATCTCATAATTTTATTAAGATTATGTGCAATTACGTACAAAGAGAAATATAATTTTATATGGATTTTATTTAATAATTGTTTATACATTCTGTGAATGTAATTGTAAATATAAATTATACAAATAAGTGGATAATTTTTTTAAATAACGTTTTTTACAAATAATGGATTTATCATTTTGTAAATATTTGAATGATTTTAATAGATATTTTATGATGTTAATTGACAAATTTATGTATGTATGTATATATATATATATATATATATATTTATATTTATATATTTGCATATATTTACATAAGTAGCCCACCGATATCTATGTATATATAATTACTTACAATCTGTATGCTGTATATAATATTATAGTAGTTAGTAAGTAAAATGGTTTTATAAAAAATTGTGTTTAGTTATATATTTGTGAAAATAAATTTGTATTTGCGATGATAGAGCAAAACGAAATTCTTATGCATATAGTCCCACTCAATTGGTGCCTTTTATATTATTTAGATATTTAACTTATGTTTTAAATAAGTATAATACATATTTTAAAGTAGTTTTAATAGATCATTAGGTCATGATGATATAATATAATGTTTATGATGGACTATGTGTTTTAATATTGTATATTAGAAAAATCATTCATATGTGTCACTTAGTTATCACTTTTAGTGTGTCGTACAGTGTATACTCATAGGATGAATGAAACCACAAAAAATGATAAAATTATGCTTGCAAGATAGCTAATCTAGTAAATCCGCAATGGTTTGATAAATGTAACCACACCATCCATTATCAATAAAAATCTAAATCCTCAAAACAAATATTGAAGAGTATATAAATATCAAATTTTGTGAGAGAATCATTTGATATTTGACGATTGACAAGGTAAGTGATAATTTTATTTATATTGCAATATTTTTTAAAGAAAATATTTTCTTAATGGTATACTGAATCATATCTAATATTTTCTTCAGTATATCATTAAAAATATTTAGCAATTATTTTACTCTTTCATTTTTTAATGAGTAAATGTTAAATATTAGATGCAGTATGGTCTGTGACTATATGTTTTAATAAACTTCTTATCGGAATCATAAAAATTATATTGGTGTTATTGAAATGTAGAGTAAAATGATTTAAAGAATCTATTCAACACTATATTAGTGCCATACATAATTTACCAATATATATAATATACAAAAAGTGTCAATAAAAATGTGGATTTTTTATAGATAATTTATATAATCAATAGAAATATTCACCATTTATGTTACTCCAATATTCATCATTTTTGCAATCTTCTCTTCAGAAGATTTATTTATACTAATGATAAAATTATAATTATATAAAAAAAAAAAAACTAATAATAACAATAACTATTATTATTTATTATCTGTATAGTTCTATTCATAGATAAGTAAACATTCTATTCTATTCTATCTATTTATTTAAATAACATCAGATCGTATTAAATTCGAAAAGTATTAATATTAATACTTTTCGAATTTAATACAATCTGTTCTTTAAATAAATAGAACTATACATATAATAAATAATAATAGTTATTGTTATTATTAGTTTTTCTTAAATTTTATTTTTTTAAATTTTTATTTTTTTAAATTTTGTTTACTCAGTTTGCCAACATATAAATAATATACAAACACACATACATAATGAAGTTAACAGTCAAATTAAACAAAACTTCAAATTAACTGAAAGTTGTAAAAAATAATAAAAATAACTATAATAATATAAAAATATTTGATACCGCTGCATAAATAATCGACATTCAATTTTTAATAAATAATAATTAATAATGAATAATAATAATGAATAATTCGTTTACCAGATGCCATTTTAATATTATGTGCAAATGTGTGTAAAATGATGAATAGACGCCATGATACATACACATACTCGTATATAAACTTTATGTATTATGTATCAAACCAAATTAAGGTTATGTTTTGTGTTTTCAAATGCTGCTGTTTATAAAAATTATAAATAATGTTAATGTGCAATTTGAAATTTATTAGTGATGTTGGATTTTCGATAACCAACAAAAAATGGAACAATCTAGAACCGCAGAGTGGTATGTTACATGCTTTATTACGATACTTAGTTATTCTAATTGTCAAAACCGGTTTAGTAGAGGTTATATGTGTTATGTATATATTTTCAAGACTTTCTTTCAATTTATATTTATTTAAAGTTAGCATATAAAAATAAATCATATCATGCGACGCATTTTCAATTTACCTTTATTTGCAAAATTATTGTTTGGTAACGAATTTTCCATTGCCGTTTACAAAATTGTTTACAAAAAACGTTTGTAATAACATTTGCGCCATTATTATGTAAATATAATGTATGAACTAGTCTTGAATATGTGTATGTTTTATGTTAATATTATACGTAACAAAGACATGATTCATTATTGTACTATGAAAATCGTTGCAAAATAATATATCGTTGTATTAGTACGTATATGTTGACTTTAAAAATCATAAGTGAGTTATTCCCCATCACGCCCGCACATAAACAAAATATTCTGCATCGTATCAGATCTTTATTAATTTCAATAACTGTGTTAAAAATAGTTTTAAGTTACAGTTAAATTTATTTATATTTGGTTAAGAGTATCTAATCAAATACCGGCAATTTTAAATACAAAGTGTCTAATAATAGGATAGGATTCATAAAGTATTGTAAGTTTATGACTCATATTTTTAATTACATTTTCATGAATAATAGATTATAGAAATATCTTGAGCCTATTGTTTTAGGTACGTTTTTACATTGATACCATACTCTATTTTTAATGTATTTTAGTGTAATTAATTGGCATTTCAGTATCTGAAACTTTTATTAACTTTTTAAATATAATATTTGGTATTAATAATATTTGGCCGCAGTTGAAGGAGCGAACTTAATCTTTGCAATGGTAGCTTCATTTGCATGCAAACCATTTTCAAAATTGTATGTTTAAATTGTGAAAATATTTCTATTATCAATTATTAACAAAGTCGCGAAATATATAACATATATTCTTTTTAATCGTTATATATATATTACCAAACTACACTAACAATGAGATCAAATATTCCTACTTATTATTTATCATTTCAATTTTTAATTGAATTGTGGCAATATAAATTTCACAAGGATAAGAAATTTCTAAATGTTACAGTTTTATGTAAAATATTATGTTATTTACAGTAAATTTATGAATAAGATGGCATCGTGCCCAATCGTGCCTTAAGGCAATTTGCTGGAACTTCCCGTACCGTAACGAAATGATCGAGTAGTATTAAATGTTTTCAAATAGATAATTATAAATAAATACTGTAACATTGTCTAATATTTATAAGAATTATATAATCTGAATTGCAAAGTTAAAAAATATTTATTTGAAGTATATAAGTGAGCTTTAGAACTTTAGCCAGAATTAAAATTAAAATCTGAATTATTTTAGATATACAAAAAAAAATAATTTCAAAATATTTTTTTTTCCAAAAGCATTTGTTTCGTCAACACAAGCAAATTTTTCAAATCGGATGCTTAGTTTTTTTCACATTTAGCACCTTATCTCCGTAACGATGTGACTAGTTTTTGCCTTTGCCAAAAACTTGTCAGTACATCTACCTATCAATAGAAATCGAATGCTTTTTGAACCATTCAAATTAGTTGATCCGTGTGCCCGAAAACGTGGACGATAAATCCATATATGTGTATCCATACATACACACACATCAATTTTTTCTAAGGTATGCCAAAATGTTCAGAAAACTCTTGAACGTGAAGATATGCAAAAATTTTCATTTTCGATTTTTCGCCCATTACTATAACTTACCCCACGGGAATTTAAAAATATTGAGAATAAATATAGAATAACAAAAGAACCTCTTAATATGTTTTTTCTTGATCTGGAACCAAATAGAAATAACAAAAATTTATAATATTTACAAATTATTCAATTGCATAATACGCGTCGAACCTCCAAGAAAGTCTAACAACATAATACAATGCACTAGCTGTCAACTCTTTAATCACACCAAAAAATACTGCAATAGAAATATGTTTGTCCTATAATTCCGGTTTAAAATGATGTTGATATTTTTTTTCAAAAGATGATGGTCAATAATATAGTAGTACTATATTATTGCATTATTTTTAAACTTATTGTGGAAGAAGGAAAATCTCACTACTAAATATTTCTCAAAAATATGTTAAATAGCTAATTTAATGTTTTTTCGGTCTCTTGAGTCATTCTAGATCGTTTGGAACCAAATTGGAAAAAGCATGTTTCAAATTTTGACTTTTCGTCAACGTTTTCTAAACCGATTTTAAACATTTGAAGTCTCTCTATGGAACTCGATAAGAATCGTAAGGATTCGCGTTGACTATTTTTGCTCGGCCATCGGCCAAACTTTTTCTTAATAATTTGCAGGAATATTTCAATTTTTCATCCAAGGTTAGCAAAAATTTTGAAACAATTTTGAAAAATTAAAAAACGTTCGAAAGTCAGCAGTTAGCCTTTTCTTTGTTCATTTCATTTCTTCGTTAATTTTTTTGTTTTATGATGACAAAGTTCTTGAATTTTACGAACATCCTAAAATATTTTGAGCCTACAAAAAAGGTTTAATTATAAGAATTAATTAAAGTTTGTAATAATGTGTTGGAACAAAATTTCAAACTTCTATCGTGCCATTTTTAAAAGTTGCTATATATTAATTCATATTGAATATTAACTTCCCGTAGGGTAAGTTATAGTAATCGCAAAAAATCGAAAATGGAATTTTTTATATATCTTTAGGTTTAAAGGTTTCTAAATATTTTGGCATACCTTAAAACATGGATGTATGTGTGTGTGCGGATACAAATTTTCGTCAAAAAACATTCGATTTGCATTGATAAGGAGACGTGCTGATTAGTTTTTAGCGAAAGAAGGTCTAGCCGTTCCGAAGATACAGGGCAAAAAGTGCCAAAACGGAAACTCAGTTTTTAAGAGAACGGATTTTACTTGTATTGACAAGATAAAAAACTAAGTAAATTTTTGGGAAGGCAGGTCTAGCGATTATGGACTCTCAATAAAAATAAGTTTAAAAAATGCCTTTTGGCGGTCCAAAAGGATCATAAGACATATGCGAATCAAATTATTAGATATTTTGTAGAGATTTTCATAATATGTACATATTTTGTGTAAATTTTTATTGGGTTCCGTACCAAGATTTTAATTTTGATGTTTATTTATATAGTTTAAACAAATGTTTGTATGGAATAACCGGTTTGGATAATTTAAAAAACATTCGATTCGTATTGTTAAGGAGACGTACTGATTAGTTTTTGGCGAAGGCAGGTCTACACGTTCCGAATATACGGGGCAAAAAGTGCCAAAAACGGTAACTCAGTTTTTAAGCGCGTTTAAGGCGTCCGATTTTAATAATTCAAAAAACATTTTACTTGTATTGACAAGATGAAGAACTGATTAAATTTTTGGGAAGGCAGGTCTAGCGGTTATGGACTTTCAATAAAAATAAGTCAAAAATATGTCATTTGGCGGTCAAACATGTTTATGGACTTATACACATCAAATTATCAAATATTTCATAGAGAATGACATAATTACACATTTGTGTATTTTTTTCTGGGTTCCGTACGAAGATTTTAATTACGGTACGGGAAGTTCCAGCAATTTGCCTTAAGGCACGATGTCATGCACCCCACTAGTTCATATTATATTTACCCATTTCGGGAAATTTATGCAACTTGCTTTAGGAAAAATGCCCCTAACTCAAAAATTCTCCCAATCGTGATAATTGGATACGATAATTATCGAAAGCGATTGGTTAAATCGACAATTTATATCCAGGCAAATAGTTAATAATAATATATTTTAATATGTGTAATAAATGGAGTTTCGAACATATATATTTGCCTGGAATTAGCCACTCTATATATGTGTGTGGTTTAATTAAAAACGTTTGATATTGCACGTTGTTTTATGGCGTCAAATCACGCATGAAAATGCTTTGTCTACGTCACGTAATGCGGTGACGTCTTTTATATAAATCCATAAATAACCGAAACGATGATTTTTCTAGTTGTTATGAAATCTCTGTTATATTTTTCAATGAAATATCTACTCGACGATTATTTTTATTATACGTTTCCTATACACCCAAGTTGTGCTTTTGAAATAAAAGAAAATATATAAATAAGGTATCTAATAGTCGGGTGACTTTATTTGCTTGTTGGCTGTAAAACGATTTCCATTGTAACTTTTATTATTTGGCGAAATTGTTTAAATTTGTATGTACTAATGTGTAGAAAAATGATTTATAATGATTTTTTTTCTCAAAAATGAATAATCAAAAAAGTCTCTGTTATCTGCTTTAAGAGCAAATGTATTGTGATTTTTTAAGTCGCAATATAATATATAAATAATTATATAGCATTGAAAAAGTCACGTCGCCGATTTTATTGCTTAAGAAATTAAGCGTAAATCTAGTATTATGCCATTAAATACTTACCATATTAAACCAATCTTCGATTTTTTATCTGTTTAGATGTTTAACTACTGTTAATCACAAAAATTGCTTGACCAATAGTTGCCAAATATTAATAAATGCTATTTTCAATTGATATTCTTGAATATATTAAATTTTTTAAATCTAATAATTTTTAAAGTGTTAATGTTGCGCAAAAGCAGCTCGGCTGATCTCTATAATTGTTTGAAAGTATGATAATCATATCTAAACGGACCAAAATTGATGGAAATTTTAAAAAGAAACTATGCACGGTCTTTGTGACGCAATTTACTATTGTAATTGGTATCTTTTAAAAATTTTAAGTCATCTTTGAGTTTCAAAATTGGAATTTGAAAATAGTTGGACAATTAATTATATCTGTTTGTAAGACGAAATAATTTATTACAACGATTATCATATAAAATCGGTGAATTCTAACGATAATTTGAGTCTGTGCATTTTTAAAAAAGGGATAATTAACTGATTCCCAAATAATCCTTCAAACAATTGTTAATTTTTTAAAATTGAATCTAGATTTTTGAACTTTCTGTAAGGTAAGTTATAGCAATCGCAAAAAAATCGAAAATGAAATTTTTATATATTTTTACGTTTCAAAGGTTTTTGAACATTTTGGCATACTTAGAAAAAATAAATGTAGGTGTGTGTGTGGATACAAATTTTCGTCGACGATTTTGGGAACACCGATCAACCGATTTGAATAATTCAAAAAACATTCGATTCGTATTGATAAGGAGACGTGCTAGTTTTTGCCAAAGGCAGGTCTAGCCGTTCCGAAGATACGGGGCAAAAAGTGCCAAAAATGTTAACTCAGTTTTTAAAAGAACGAAGCGTCCGATTTTAATAATTTAACAACATTTTACTTGTATTGACAAGATGAAGAACTGATTAAATCTTTGGGAAGGCA